TTTTTTTTTTTCTCTTTTTTTTTTTTTTTTTTTTTTTTTTTTTTTTTAATTTTTAAGTAATCCCTACACACAGCTTGGGGCTGGAATTTACAATCCCAAGATCAAGAGTTGCATGCTCTACTGACTGCCAGCTAGGCAGCTCTGGCATTACTTTTTCATATAATCTGGGAGGCCAAACTATAAATCTGTATATTACTTATGCATGAAGTCAGAGATAAAAAGATAGATAATTTGAGGTGGTATTTGTCAGTCAAGCCAAAATTAAAACTTTTTAAAAAAGATTATTTATTTATTTATTTGACTGAATGAGAGAGGGAACACAAGCGAGGGGACCTGGAGAGGGAGAAGCAGGCTCCCTGCTGAGCAGGGGGGCTTGATCCCATGTCGCTGGGATCATGACCTAAGTTGAAGGCAGATACTTAATGACTGAGCTATCCAGGTGCGCCCAAAATGAAAACTTACACTGATTGGATTTACTTCTCAGATTTGATACCTCATTTTCCTGGAGAGTATTAGGTAAAGTCAGCCAGACCTCTGATTCTCCCATTCCTAGGGTCCTTATACTGGGAACACTCTTAACATAATAGCTTTTCAGTTTCTTAGAATGTTTCAATTCCTTAGTATTCAACTGTCAACCATTCCTGCCTTCATTTGAAGTGTGTGTTCCCTGGTATCAGCCCTTCCAAATTGGTTGTTTAATGGGTAGCTCAGCTCTCAAATTAAATGGTTCTTTTTCCTTCTTACAGAAAATTTCCATTGTGAAAATCTTTAAATTTATGAAACTTTATTTATTTATATATATTTTTAAAAGATTTTATTCATTTGAGAGGGAGAGAGAGCACAAGCAGAGGGAGAACCAGGCTCCCTGCTGAGCAAAGAGCCTGACATGGGACTTGGTCCCAGGACCCTGGGATCATGACCTGAGCTGAAAGCGGACACTTAACTAACTGAGCCACCCAGGTGTCCCTGTGAAACTGTTTAAAAGGAAAAGAACAGGGGCACCTGGCTGACTCAGTTGGTAGAGCATGTGACTCTTGATCTCAGGGTTGTGATTTCAAGTCCCATGTTGAATGTAGAGATCACTTAAAAAAATTACTAAAGGAAAAGAACAATAACCTACAACCTGTTTTTTCCTACCAGCCTTTTAAAAAAAGATTTTATTTATTTGAGAGAGAGAGAGAGGGAGAGAGAGAAAGAGTGCTGAGTGGGGGGAGGGACAGAGGGACGGAGAATCTTAAGTGGGCTCCACCAGTGCTGAGCCTGATGTGGGGCTGGATCTCATGACCCTGAAGTCATGACCTCAGCCAAAATCAAGAGTCTAGTGCTTAACTGACTGAGTCACCCAGGTGCACCTAAACACACATGAGTTTTAAAGATTTATTTAATTTATTTTAGATAGATAGAGAGTATGTGCACAAGCAGGGGGAGGGGTGCAGAGAGGGGGAGCCCAACATGGGGCTTGATCCCAGCATCCTGTGATCATGACCTGAGTTGAAACCAAGAGCTGAATGCTTAATTGACTGAGCTACTCAGGTGTCCCAAACATACATGAGATGTATATATGTATGTATTTACTTATTTATTAAAGATTTTATTTATTCATTTGACAGAGCACACAAGCAGGGGGAGCGGCAGGCAGAGGGAGAAGCAGACCTCCTGCTGAGCAGGGAACCTGACATGGGGCTCAGTCCCAGGACCCTGGGATCATGACCTGAGCCCAAGGCAGATGCCTAAAGGACTGAGCCACCCAGGCGCCCCCATACATGGGTTTTAATGTGAGCTCAAAATGATATAATTTGGGATCCTGCCTTTTCATGTAATGTACTGCAAACAAATTCTTTCTAAAATGTAGGGGCACCTGTCAGTCCATTGCAAAGATTGTTTCTGGTGTGAGGCAGATGTTGCCTCGGTAGTGCTCTGATGTTGCTTGGGCAGTATAAACTTTTTTTTTTTTTTAAGATTTTATTTATTTATTTGACAGACAGAGATCACAAGTAGGCAGAGAGGCAGACGGAGAGAGAGGGGGAAGCAGGCTCCTCGCTGAGCAGAGCGCCCAATGTGGGGCTCCATGCCAGGACCCTGAGATCATGACCTGAGCCAAAGGCAGAGGCTTTAACCCACTGAGCCACCCAGGCGCCCCCAGTATAAACTTTAGAGACCCAAAGTTTAGCGGTGGAAAATGCAGTTTGAGTTCGCCTGCTCTGTGAATGTGGCCTGCTTAAGTGCCCCAAGAGCTCAGAGTGCTACATTTCCATTAGAACCACCTCTGTGGCCTAAAGATAAATTTTATTCATATAGAAAATGACCACCTGTCCCAAGATCCAAAGAATTGATAAAGAATTACTTAGGAAAATGTAAATTGTCAGAATGAACTCAAGAAGAGGCAGAAAATATAAATAGAACAAAGAAAGTATAGTTCCTCCTTGTCTAGCCTTCCAAATAGGGCCAGAAATCAGTATCTCAGCTTTTGTTTACTTCTTTTGTATTAAAATTCATAGGAGTTGCAACTTGTAGTTATTCTTCTGTTTATTGTCTGCAATTTTGTCTTCAGTGGACTAGAGTCTTCATGAGGACAGGAACTGTGTCTCTCTTGGTCTTGATCGTTTTTTTCTAGTCTCTCAGCAGATACTTGTTGAATGCATTAGCAAATGATTGTATTTAACCTGGAAAGCAGTTGTTTTTTTTTTTTTTTTTTTTTTTGAGTTCTGAGGTGTTTCCCTTTAGGTGAGTCCTTGGTCAGCATTGTTGAGTGCAGGTCTCCTCAGGATTTCTGGAACTACAGGACACCACGTAATAGAGAAGGAAGAGACAGTGGAGGGCACATCTGTGTTAGGATGAGAGCAGGCTTGGAAGTAGCCACTGGCAGAGTTTCCTGGAGCTTTTTGTTTTGAATAATTCCTGTTTGTCTTTTATGTGTAGTGACTGATGCTACACTCTGGGCAGACTTTGCCTAAGTTTCATAAATATTTAATTGGCTTTTTCAGGAGAATAAAGGCAGCCCCGCTGATGACTGAAAATGACAAAGCATCCACCTAACAGACGAGGAATCAGCTTTGAAGTGGGAGCCCAGTTGGAAGCCCGGGACCGATTAAAAAACTGGTACTTTTATATTTTTCTGTTAATTAAATTCCTTCAGTAAAGGATTTTTGCGAGCATTGATAAAGAGGGGTAGCCTGTGCTTTTCTGTAGTGTTTTCCTGCTTCCTGACCCTTGGAAGGTAGGAGACTTAAGCCTGGAGATGTGGAAATGTCCTTTCTTTTTGGTGCTGGGATCTGTCTGTCATGGAGACCATTCCGTGTCTACTTGTTAATACTTGTTTCCCCTTTCTGCCCGTTCGGAGAAGGAGCGATGGGAAAAAGAAGCATGGATGGCTACAAGGCAGGGAAGAGTTAAAAGTGGCACTCTCTTGCTCTTGGCTCCCTGTCTGGAAGAAGAGACAATAGATCAGGGATGGAAGCATGAAGGAAAGGGGTTAGATTGGAATAGTTTGTGTGTTGTGAACAACTCCTTCTGTTTTCTGGGTGTGTGTTGTGGTTGAAATTTAGTCATCACTCTGTATGGTGATTAAATGTAGAAGGCCGAGGGCTTGTAGTCCTGACTTGTCATTGACTTGTGACCTCTGGGTGGTAATTCTCACTTTGAGGATCAGCTTCATCTGTAAATGTGTGGATAGTAGTAATATCAACCTCAGTTTTTCTGAGAATCAGGTAATAGAATATGTGGAGAAAGGCCTTCCTTACCAACTGTTGGTAATGATGGTTGTTGAGAACGTCCTACAATTTGGTCATTTGTTAATGTTTAAGGTAAAGGTGGGGGTTTCAGAATTCAAGCATTTCTGAGTGTAGTCCTTTCGGGGAGTTTTCTGAAAATAGACTGACCAGTTCCTGGGGTGTAGGAAGAGAAGAGAGGGGAAAAGAGAAGCAGGGAAATGTTGGCTGGGGCAGAAAATGTCTGCTGCCTTTTGGGGATAGAAGATTTGATATATGAATTGTGGACCTTTTGAATACCTTGTTGTTTTAGGCTGTTTGTATTATCTGTGATTATTTCCCTTTTTTGTTTTCTCTCAGCTCTTTTTAAGACAGCTTAATCAAGGGAAGAATTCTTTTCAAATGTGGAAAAAAATTAAAATTTGGAAAAAGTAAAGAAGTACAGCTAGCCATAAAATAATCTGTATAGTTATCTCTCAGAATAAATATTAGTGAATATTAATAAAACAAATTAGTATGTAAAATTTAATAAAAAGATTTATTAATAAATTAATAAATGTCACTCAGAATAAATGACATTTTTGTTTTATTATATTTATGTTAAAAAATTAAGGCTATAAAACATTTCTGATTTAATGCAAGTGTCTTTTATACCTTACCAATTCAATTCCCCTTCTGTGTTCCATAGAGGCAACCAGCATCCCGAAGTTGGTTGTATCCTTTCTGTCCATGTTTTTACATTTTGACTATATATATATGTATTCATAAGTAATAGTTAGAATCACTTTATTTAAAATCGGTTCATTTAAAAATGAATGTTTTATTATATTGTTTGTTCCTTTAGCTTGTGTTTGTGTGATTCATGCATACTGATATATAAGATACTCCTCCTAACTTCTGTATAGAGTTCTGTTGTATGAATATACCATATTAAAAAAAAGGAATATATCATATTTCGTTTATCTAGTCTCCTACTGATAGACATTTAGATTCCAGTTTTTCACTTTGTTTATTTTTAAAGTAAGCTCTAGGCCCAGTGTAGGGTTTGAACTAATAACCTGGAGGTTAAGAGTCCCATGCTCTCTACTCAGCCAGCCAGGCTCCCCTCCAGTTTTTCCACTTTAAACTTAATGTTGCTGGGGTGCTTGGTTAGCTCAGTCAGAAGAGTGTGCCACTCTTGATCTTAGGGTCATGAGTTCAAGCCCCATGTTAGTGTAAAGATTACTAAAGAGAATAATAAATTTAAAAAATAACACACTGTTATTGTGAACATCTCTGTAAATGACTTTTTTGTGTATCCTTTTGCAAGAATACTTCTTGGGCAGTGGCTTTCAAACCTTTTTTATGGCAATTTATAGTAAGAAATATATTTTAAATCCAGTGTAATACCCACCCATATACACATAATAATTTAACTGGAGCAAAAACTTAGAGACAGTTCTTAACCTTAGACATGCATTATATTCTGATGTTTTCCCTCTATGTTGTATGTATGTTTCCTGAACATATGCACAAGTGCTGGTCTAGATTCATTAATTTTATTTTAGAATCCAGTGGGTCATGAACTGCTGTTTGATAAGCCCTACTCCAGTGAATTTGTTGAGTAATATGATATACACATTTTCAGTTTTACTGGAAATTGCCAAGTTTATCTCCAAAATGCTTCTATTAAATTACACCCCCACAGTAGTGCATTAAACTTCCTGTTTTTCCACGTCCTTATCAATCCTTGCTTTTTAAAGACTTTCTGGTTTTGCTAATCTGTTGGTTATGAAACTTTGTTTTATTCTATGTTGCTCGTACTTCTGGTGAGGTTGAGTATTTTCTAATATGTGTGTTCTGTGACTTGTTCTTGGCTATTTTCCTATTTGATTGTCTGTTCTCAATGATTTATTAGTGTTCTTCTAATACGTTATGGATTCCAATTCTTTGTCAGTTTGTGTTGCAGAAATCTTCCAGTCTGTAACTTGTCTTTTCAGCTTGTTTGTTTCTTTTCTTTTCTTTTTTTTTTTTTAAATTTAAAAAAAGGTTTTATTATTTATTTATTTGAGAGAAAGAGAGAGGATAAGCAGGGGGAGCAGCAGGCAGAGGGAGGGAGAGAGAAGCAGGCTCCCTCGTGTGGGGCTCGATCCCATCATGACCTGAGCTGAAGGCATACACTTAACTGACTGAGCCACCCAGGTGCCCCCTTTCAGCTTGTTTCTGGTATCTTTCATGGCATATAATACTCTCCTAAATTCTTCTAAAAGTTTTAAAGTTTTGCTTTTCACATTTTGATCTTTATTTACCTAGAATTGATCTTACGTATGGGATGAACTTGGTCTAATTTTTTTTTTTTTAAAGATTTTATTTATTTATTTGACAGAGACCACAAGTAGGCAGAGAGGCAGGCAGAGAGAGAGGAGGAAGCAGGCTCCCTGTGGAGCAGAGAGCCTGATGCGGGGCTCGATCCCAGGACCCTGGGATCATGACCTGAGCCGAAGGCAGAGCTTTTAACCCACTGAGCCACCCAGGTGCCCCCTTTCAGCTTGTTTCTGGTATCTTTCATGGCATATAATACTCTCCTAAATTCTTCTAAAAGTTTTAAAGTTTTGCTTTTCACATTTTGATCTTTATTTACCTAGAATTGATCTTATGTATGGGATGAACTTGGTCTAATTTTTTTTATTCACAATTTAAATAATCAGGTGCCCCATCATCGTTTGTAGGGCAGTCCATTCTTTCCCCACTGATCTGCAGCACCACTTCTATATACCAAGTGCCATAACATGGCACTGTCTCTTCTTAGCTCCTTATTCTGTTCTATTAATTTATATTTACTCGTGCTAATAGCAACACATCTAATTTACTTTGCTTTAAAGTAAGTCTTGATAGCTGTTAAGACAGATTTTGCCCCTGTGTGCTTTATTTGCTGTATTCTTAAACCTTTTCTCTTACTTTTTGAAAAAACTGAAGCATAATTGACATTCAGTGCTATATTAGTTTCAGGTATAGATCTTTACTTTTAATGTGAATTTTTATTTTAATTTTATTTTTAAAATGATTTATTTATTATTTATTTAAATTATTTATTCTAGAGAAAAAGAGAATGTGCATGTGCGAGAGGGTGTGAACGGGGTGGGGGAGGGGCAACGGGAGAGGGAGAGAGAATCCTTAAGCAGATTTCCTTCTGAGCAAGGAGCCTGATACGGGGCTTGATCCTAGGACTCTGAAATCATGACCTGAGTGGAGATCAAGAGTTGGATACTTAACCGACCGAGGCACCCAGGTGCCCTGAAAATATTATGTTTTTGTATTTATTCACATTTTCCTTTATAAACATAAGTAATGTTTTATAACCTTCATAAAGCTTTTGCATGTTATCTATTAGACTTATTCCTAAGTACCTTCTGTTGTTTGTTGCTTCTGTAAATGGATCTTTTTTCTTTTATTGCAGAGCATGCACATTCATGCGTGAGTAGGGGAGAGGGGCAGAGGGAGAGGAAGAGAGAGAATCTTAAGCAGGCTGCATGCCCAGCTTAGAGCCCGGGCTTAGTCTCAGACCCTGTGATCAGAATTCTGAGATCATGACCTGAGTTGAAATTAATAGTCAGATGCCCAACTGATTAAGTTACCCAGGAGCACCTTGTGAATGGATTTTTTTAAAAAGATTGTATTTATTTATTTATTTATTTGATTGAGTGAGCAAGAGAGAGAGAGAGAGAGGAGAGAGCATATGTGAGTGGGAGGAGGACAGAGACAGAGAATCTCAAGCAGACTCTGTGCTGAGCGTGGGGCCCCATATGGGGCTTGATTCCATGACCCTGAGATCATGATGTGAGCTGAAACCAAGAGTGGGATGCCCAACCTACTGAGTCACTAGGTATCCCTGGATCTTTTTATATTACATTTTCACTTTGGTTATTGGAGACTCAATGCTCTTGAGTCTTGTTGTTGACCAAAGTCAGTGTGTGAACTTTACCGAGAACATAGTTAAACTGACTGACCCACCCAGGTGTCCTACTGAGATCATAGTTTAAAAGTAACTGCTAAAGGGGCGCCTGGGTGGTTCAGTGGGTTAAGCCTCTGCCTCCGGCTCAGGTCATGATTTCAGGTCCTGGGATCAAGCCCCGCATCGGGCTCTCTGCCCAGCAGGGATTCTGCTTCCCCATCTCTCTCTGCCTGCCTCTCTGCCTGATTGCGATTTCTCTCTCTCTCTCTGTCAAATAAATAAATAAAATCTTAAAAAAAAAAAAAAGGTAACTGCTAAAAAAAGATTTATGACATTTATGAGATTGTTGGAAATTTGAACATTGATTAATGATATTAATACTGGGTTCTTTGTTCTTTCAATACACTTCTATTAGTCCTTGAGTATTTTCTTTTTTTCTGGCACTACTTAGAAGGCCTACATTTATTTTGCCCCTGTCATTCTCTAGACCCTGGAGTCAGCCATTTCTCTAACGAGGCCTAATTCCTTTTAGGTATAAGTAGTGTTTAGAAATAACTCTGGGCACTGGTTTTTTTTTTTTTTTTTTAAAGATTTTATTTATTTATTTGACGGAGAGAGATCACAAGCAGGCAGAAAGGCAGGCAGAGAGAGAGGAGGAAGCAGGCTCCCTGCTGAGCAGAGAGCCCGATGCGGGGCTCGATCCCAGGACTCTGAGATCATGACCTGAGCCGAAGGCAGCGGCTTAACCCACTGAGCCACCCAGGCGCCCCTGGGCACTGGTTTTATTGCTGCTAGAATGTTACTGCTTTTAGTCCTTTTCAGTGGATAGAGCTAAGAAATAAAATTTTTGAGAAGTTGTGAGTTCATTTTGGTATTTCCAACTTAAATTTAATATTTTGTAATTTATATTTTTATTTTTGTCTTTTATTTTGAAAATTTTTTTCTAAAATTTAATTTTTTTTTTGTTGTTGTTGTTCAATTTTATTTATTTACCTGACAGAGAGAGAGAGAGAGAGATCACAAGTAGGCAGAGAGGCAGGCAGAGAGGAAGGGGAAAGCAGGCTCCCTGCTGAGCAGAGAGCCCGATGCAGGGCTCGATCCCAGGACCCTGAGACCATGACCTGAGCCAAAGGCAGAGGCCCAACCCACTGAGCCACCCAGGCGCCCCTAAAATTTAATTTTTAATCAGTTAATCAATTAATTGATTTTAGAAGGGGGAGGGAAAGAGAATCTTAAGCAGGCTCCATGACCCTGAGATCATTACCTGAGCTGAAACCAAGAGTTGGGCGCTTAACTGACTGAGCCACCCAGGCACCACTGTGAGTTCCTTTTTAATACTCTTGCAGTATAATTTTCTACGTTTGAAGTTATTTTTAAATATATATACAGTAAAATTTCCCCTTTTCTGGCATACATGTGTATGACAGAGAGAGACATAATGAGAGAGGGAACACAAGCAAGGGGAGTGGGTGAGGGAGAGGGTGAGGTTTCCCACCATGCATGGAGCTCAATGTGGGGCTTGAGCACAGGACCTTGGGATCATGTATGACCGAAGGCAGACGCTGAACAACTGAGCCACCCAGGCGCCCCAACACATGTATAGGTCTTATAAGTATCACAACTTACAAGATAAGGAGAACACCTAAAGAATTTGCTTATGCTATACCCTTGTCAGTCTATAATTATTTGATTTGATTTTTAAAAAATTTTTAAAGATTTTATTTGTTAATTTATTTTATTTATTTTTTGAGAGAGAGAGAGCACATGAGTGCATGCCATAAGT